TGTCATTGGCCTCTTGAGGGGTTGATCTATCGATCACCAACAAATGTGCTAAGAAGTAAGGCTTCAACTTCTTAACAGCCATGTAGAGAACAAGGCCAAAATTTTCAACCATGGTGTACCGGAGTTTAGCATTTCTAAGAGCATGACTAATGAAATAGACCGGGAGTTGTATATTTTCTCTCTCAGCAAAGAGAACAATAATAAGGGCATGATTTGAGACGGCTAGGTACATGTAAAGCGTCTTCTTTGGCAGAGGGCTAACAAGCCTTGGCAAGGAGTGTAAATGTTCTTTCAATTTCTGAAAGGCCGCCTCAGCATCATCTCCCCATTCAAATCTAGTCTTCTTATTGATTTCTTGGAAGAAGTAAAGGCATTTGTCTCTTGACCGACTGAGGAATCTCCCAAGCGCAGCCAGGAAACCGGTAAGCCTATGAGCTTCCTTGATAGTGCGGGGTGACTTCATGTCAATCACCGCCTGTATCTTCTTGGGGGTTAGCCTCTATCCCCCTTTGATCAATCAGGAATTTGAGAAAATTCACAGACTCAACACCAAAAGCACACTTATTGGGATTCAACATGACCTTTATGCCGCCTTAGTATGTTGGAGGTTTCTTAGAGATTAGAAAGGTGATCCGTCCGTAGCTTGGATTTAACTATCATTTCATCAATGTACACCTCTACATTCCTCCTAATCTGATTAATAAAGACTGTATTAATTATCCGTTGGAAAGTAGCCAGCGCATTCTTCAAGCCAAATGGCATCACTGTATAACAGAATAACCCCTGATTAATGTTGAAGGCTGTCTTCTCTTGATCTTTTTTCCACAAGGGTATCTGCTGGAAACCGGAGTAGGCATCCATGAAACTCATCAAGGCATGCCCGGTTGTGGAGTCGACCAAACTGCCGATCTTTGGAAGCGGGTAGCTGTCCTATGGACATGCCTTGTTCAAGTCAGTGTAATCTACACACATGCGCCAAGTACCATTCGGCTTCTTTACAAGCACCATGTTCGCAACCCAATCATGGAAGTTACATGGTCAAATGAACCCGGCGTCTAATAGATTTTGGACCTCGACAGCTGCCGCCTAACTTCTTTCCTCACCGTGATTTGTTTTCTTTTGCCGGATGGGCTTCGTTTTTAGATCCACGGCGAGCTTGTGGATAGCTAGATTTGGGCTGATGCCTGGTATCTCTTCCACGTCAAAAGCTTAAATGTCTTTGAATTCTTTTTGCATGAGGTGCAAGTCTGCACCCAACCTTTCAAAGGCAGTTGTCCCCACCTTAACCGTTTGCTCTGGACGGCTGTTGTCTAGAGAAATATCAATGTGTTCACCAGCTGGCTAGGGACGGAGGTCATCTGACCGTTCCCCGGTCAGTGATTGTTATTTCTTCTCCTTCTTCACCTCCACCATATGATCATCTTTTCTTTTCTTTGTGGTTGCTGGAATTGGTGAATCAGGATCCTTGACATTGTCAAGGTCTATTAGCTCCTTCAGCTGACCGGCTGCAGCAGTCGTTGGTTTGACGTCTGAGATATAACACTCCCTTGTCTTCTTTTGTTCCCCGTTAAGGGAGCTAATAGAGCCATCATCCTTTTTCATGCTTGAGTAGTATGAGAGCTGGGATGATGAAGGCTTTAAACACGTTCAGAGTTGGCCGACCAAGAATGATGTTATAGGCGGTCAACTCTTTAACAACCAAAAACCGGACGATCATATGTTACCCTTTTCCCTTCTGCCCCAGCCAGATAGGTAGATCAATTTGTCCGACTGGGTGCACGACCCCTCCCCTAAAGCCAACTAGTAGATGGGAGACGTAGCGCAGGTTGTCCAACTTATAGCTCATCTTGGACAGACACTTGTAGCTGATGAGGTCGGAGGAGCTACCCGTGTCAATAAGGATTCGACCAACCAATTGGTTGGCGACCTTACATTCAATGATGACTGAGTCGTCATGCGGTCGGTGGACTTTGCCCCGATCTTTCTTAGTGATGAGGACGTCTGGGAATGTTCCACTGGTAGATGCCTGTCCATCATCAACTGAGTGGATCATCTTCTTTAGATGATCCTTAGTGCCCCGGATAGTCGGGCCACCACATGCGAATCTGCCGGTTATAGTGTAAACCAATTCCTTGTCGGTGTCCAAGCTACTAGTAGGCTGGACAGTCTTAGACGACTGTCTAGGATTCGTCTTGGCAGTCTCTTTGCACTTAAAGACATAAGACTTCAGCAAGCCCTTAGCAGCTAAACGGTCCAACGTGCGCTTGAGACTATAACACTCATTGGTGTCATGGCCTACTTCCTTATGGAAGTGACAGTATTTATTCTTGTTCAGCAACTGAACGAAACTCATCATTGGATTCGACTTTTCAATGGTCAGACGGTCCTTTACCTCTATGAAGATGGAGTGGAAGTATTTATTAAACTTGTACCGTGAGACATATTGAATTCTTTCTTTTTTTTTTGGACGGCTGATCAGGCTCATCAACCGCCCAAACTTCTTTTCTCTTTTTGCTCTCTTCAACTTTCTGAGCCGGCTTAGCAAACCGACTCTCTTTTTGCTTGTTTGACTTCTTAGAGTCTGACTGATGGCTAGACGAGCAGAGGTCGATAGCTTGAATAAAGTTGTCCGCCTCTATCAACGCCACTTGAAGGGTGAAAACCCTCTTTCGGACAAGGTCAAACTTAAAGGTCGACACATCCTTCAGAACCTTAAAGAAGTCTGTATAAGCTACCTCGTCAAACAACCCCTGAATATGGATTCTCGGCAGATTGAACTGTCTGACATAGGAGCGAAGTCCTTCTCTCTCTCCCTGTCTTATGGTGCTCAAGTCAAGACTTGTTTTCTTGGCAAGGATGTTCATCAAGAAGTTGGAGGCAAAAAGGAAGGCAAGCTTCCTGAAGCTGTCAATGCATCCGGCTGGCAGGTTGCCGAACCATTGTTGGGCTATGCCCTTTAAAGTAGCCGGGAAGCAGGGACACCACATGGCATCCTCCAACCCCTACATGTGCATAAGTTTGAAGTAGGCCATGAGGTGGTCCTCCTAGTTGGAGGTACCATCATAGGCAACTACCAACACAATCTTAATCTTGGTTGGTTGTGCTGCCTCGGTTATCTCTTTGGTGAATGCAAAATTTTGGTCACCAAGTTTGAGCATACGGAGCTGCCAGTCTAAAGGTTCGACATTGTATGCCGCCTGCCCCCCAAAGAGGATCAGCTGCATGAAATGAGGAGAATATTGGTCGTATACTATAGGGGGTACATACGGGGCATTCTTAATCATCTGAGGGCCAGAGTGTACGGACTTGCCGCCTATATGGCTCTCTGGAAAGCTCGAGGTACAGGCTGATCAGACAGCTGTTGGTTCCGATTTTTCTCGATGACATGTTGACTTTCGGTAAAAGTCTTCTTACTGCCATCCGGCTGAACGGTATAGATGACATTCCTTGTGCCTATCTAGGGAAGAAGGATCTTGGTCCAATCAAGGACAAGCGTAATCTTCTCCTTAGGATGTGGAGTAAGATGCCTGTCCCTGACTAACTTCTTCCTCGTAGCTCGAGGAGATTTTTTGGCCGACTGACTCTTGCTAAAGCCAGCCGTCTTCTTTTTTATCAGGTCCTTGATCTCACCCTTGAAACTTATCATGAATTTCATGAGCTCGTCTCTAATTACTGAAGCTTTACTCTGGCTGACCTGGTAGTACCAGGCGGTTGCCCAGCAAACCTGCTGGTACCGGCTTCATTGTTTACTCGTTCCAGCTTATCTTTGGAACGAATGTGCCTGGCAATGAATGACCCGTCAGGGGCCACATGAGTTTCGACGTCCACATCGTGGTCATCTTCATGGTCAGTGAAGACCTCCCCATTAACCGCAGGACGATTGGGGTCTTATTGTGGTACAGACTCTTGAACCATCTTTGAGGTACTCTCCCAACAGCCGGCGCCAAATGTTTTGGGTGTTTTTGTCCCTTGGGAGAGATACAGCTTGAAAACTAGTCCGACTGCGCATGTACCTGCAAAACAACGGAGACTTCGGGTGGTTGGAGTTCCACCTCTGAAGATCAAGTTAAAACGTGTAGGAGAATGTGAAAAAGGTGCGGAATGTAAAGTGGAATCTTCTCGGATTTCGAGATCAAGTGTTTTCTCTGACATAAGAGAATGTAGGATTGTAGGGTAGGTTGTAATAAATTGTAGATGTCCCCAAAAGGGAGGGAATCTTCCTATTTATAGGGTCATTGGAAAATGTGCTCCTAATTAGGTCACACTGACCTAATTCTATTGGGCTGCGCCGAATTACGGCTTTATCGAGATTTGGGCCCTTGAAAGCCGCATTTTCTCCCAGATTCTGGGAATGACACGTAGCATTATATATATACTAGTTTTGTGCCCCGTGCGATGCCCGGGTTATTTATGGATTTTTAAGATAAAATTATATTATGATTCAATTTAATTGAAAATAGAATTCTTAATTAACCTTTTTTTTTTGCCACAAAGTCTATCTATATTTATCCAATGTGGTACGACAATTGGTGCGTGAAAAATTAAAACGCTAAATGATGTTGTCTTGTGGCCTAATTTTAAGTTTATTATTTTGTATTTTATCGAAAATAAAACTCTAAACTAACAATCTTATTCTAAATTAACTTTTTATCTTATGAACTCTATCCAAATATATCTAAGGTGGTGCGACACTTGGCGATTTTTATGTATAAAGTCTATTAAAATCTATCTAAGGTGGCGCGACACTTGGCGAAAAGTTGGAACGCCAAGTGTCGCTATTTCGTGAATTGGCTAAAAGTTTAGCTTTATATATTAGTTATATGATATTAAATTGAAAAAAAAGCCTCATAAAATATGATAAATGCTCACCGTCTATCCACCAAAATCAAATAACCTAAATAATAACAAAATCAACTTGGTCAAGCATAAGTAATAAAACAACACAAAAATATTCTGCACGAAAGCTACGTTCCATTTTATTAATGTTATTTGATATGGTGCGATCCACATTTAACTTATAAGTATTATACTTGCACTACAATACTTTTATAAATGATTTTATTTTTCAAACACTAAGCCTAGTTGCCTTTTCCCCTTTAATTAAAACAATCCCTTTCTCTTTTTCTTTCTCTTTTCACCTGATCACCACCACCCCCTTCCAAAGTCCAAACCATAATTTTACCAAATTATTTCAACATTTTTTTCCCAAAAAACAAAAAAAAAAAAAAAAAAAAATAGAAAATAATTGAAAATGGCAGATTTAAGCTTCTACGTTGGAGTCATTGGTAATAATAGAGCAATTAGCTAGCTTGGTCCTAAAAAATGTTGATTAATTTTCAATTATATTCATAATTAAAATGTTTATTTTTATTTTTTTTGCAGGCAATATAATTTCATTACTCATGTTTCTTTCTCCAGTGTAAGTCTTTTAGATTATCATATATTACTTCTTGATTATATTATTTGATCATAAATAATAAATAGAGATATATATTGATGAAAACTATTGTGATTAATTTAACTTCGTGCAGGTCAACGTTCAAGAGGATAATAGAGCATCGATCCACAGAAAACTTTGAGAGTATTCCATACATATGTACACTATTGAATGCATCCTTATGGACTTACTATGGTCTTATCAAGCCTGAATATCTTGTATCTACCATTAACGGTTTCGGTGTCGTTGTCGAGATCATCTACGTTATTGTGTTCCTCATTTTTGCCCCTCGCAGATTGAAGGTAGGCTGTAAGAGATTGTCGAGATCAATTTATTAAATTACTCACTTGGTTGCACTAAGATTACCTCATTTCATTATTTTTTGTAAGAGGTTATTAGGTCAATATATATATATATATATATATAATATATATATATATATATATATATATATTACAAATATGACACCATTGTAAACCTGCTTTTATTTTCCGATTTCCATTGACTTTTCATTTTGTTTTCTAATTTAGTTTAATCAATTGAAAATATATACTTCTAATGATGTAAGTTAGATCAAATTAGATTATGTTAAACAACCTCTGATATAATATCTCTAATTCTCAAGTAATGTTAATTTCTTTTTGTTAGATTCATAATTGCTTTATAAAAGTAGAGGTAGGTAAAGTCTAGAATAAACTAATTTATATTTAATTTGTTTCGTGAATCATGTGGTACAAGAATTTGTGTTTCGTTCATTTTAGTGGGAATAATAAGTAATGAAAGTTGCCGCTCTATTTTTCAAATGGTTTTTTTTTTTTTTATGAAACTTTGATTATTATCCATAATTAAGCACTGTCTTAAAAGTTTATGAATGGATGATTGAAATCTATTGGCTAGACACTCATTACGTGTATTTATATGTGCGTCAAATTAGGAATGGTTAACATTCTCATCAAATATAATAATTTCGAAAACCTGAAATTCGAACTACCTTTACATCTACTTTACATCTATAATGTTTTTTTGCTCGTATTATAGATACATCAATGTAGAAATTAGTTGCGAAAAATGTGAATGTAGCAATATGACATATTGTATAATGACATTGCAACAACCAAGATTTTTTTTTTTCCTTTTTCTTGTAAGGTTTAATTTGACAACAAAAATTTAGCACCACATATTATCCATTGAAGATAGCAAGCCGCACATTATAAATTATTGTTGTGTTACTAAACAACAATGTGAAAAGAAAATATTGGCCCCAACACTTGCAATATGATTTGTGATTACTTGCTAGATTTTTAAAATTTGTATGATGAGAAATTGAGAATGGTTCATAAATGTCATTGTCATGAACAATAGGCATTTTAATTATGGTGCGTGCGTAATTTAATATAAATTGCATTATAATTAATAATTACAGGTAAAGACCTGGATACTAGTGGGTCTATTAGATTTGGGATTTTTGGCAGCAGCAATAATAGTGCCAAAGCTGGCATTACAACAGAAATATCAAATTGATGCTTTAGGTTTTTTATGTGCCGGCCTTAATGTCGTCATGTATGGCTCTCCTCTTGCTGCAATGGTACGTTTATCACTCGTTATTTCATTATTTTTAAAGTGTAAATGCAAATCAATTTAAAATTACAAATGTTTCAGGTACTACCTCTATTTCTTATAATACACAATAAAGGAATATTTTATGTCTTAAAAGTAATATCCCTTTATTACACATAATTTTATTTATTTTTTATTTTTTTTAAAAAAAAGGAGGTAGTACAATAATTGAATTTTTTTGTATCTAAATAAAAATAAAACAACTGTGACACATAGTCTGAAACGGAGGTAGTATAGTACTCCATTTGTTTTTACTCAATAAATCCTATATATATTATGAAACATTGTAAAATAGAAATGTCAATGTTAGGAAACAAAGTTGTGATATGTGTTTTTTTTAGAGCAATTGGTAAAAAAAAAATTAGCATTGTAATATAATTAACATGTAAGTAAGAAATTTGAAAGAAAATTATAAATGTAGAACGAAAAATCTAGCTAAAAAGAAGGAAACCTTTAACATACAATTAATAGGTATTTACACTAATTTACGAGTATTTTGTTGTAAATTTTCTTATTATCTACAGTATTAGTCAGAAATTACATGTGCCAAATTGTAGATTTTGTAGGTGGTTGAGTTGGTTTAATAACATTATGTAAGAAATTCATTTACTTAGCTTGTGGTTGGGTTGGTAGGTTTTGGTTCAATCCCTAATTTAATTAATTTGTTACTTCATTTTTAATTTATTATTTTTATTTTTCTGTCTTTCTTAATTAATCATTCACATAATCACATGTATCACGTATATAATATAAAAATTGGCAATGCAGCTGTCAGATTTTGTTCTTATCCAAATTTTTCTGTCATTGGATTGTAACCCAACGTGTGCACAACACTCCAAGAGATAGAAATGTTCAATGATTAATAAAATTGAAGTATTGTAGGGAGAGAAAAAGTAGCATTACCTAAATCTAAATACTTTATATAATTAATTAATTATATGTCATCAGTCAATTTGGATTGATTGGTTTTGTGGGCAATATGCCAATATTGGAATTTTATTCTTTCTTAAGGTAAATGGCATTGACAAAGTCTTATACTTCGTATTAAATTCTTAAAAACTCTATTTACCACTTTTGTTACTTATAAATCAACAAAGATAATTTATACGGATATTTTTCTACTCCGAGATAGGAATATAGGATAACCAAGTTAACCACTGGTTGTTTGTTGTTTTTTTTTTTAATAATAATTAAACCTTAAACTATTAGCATCGGTTGATTGGTGTACTTATGTTATCGTTCATGTGATGAAAAAAATAATAATAAATTAATTTTTAAAAATATCATATCATACTTTCTGCATATACATATATATATATATTTTTTTATGTATAATTTTCAAAAATAGATTAACACCCTATTACATATTGGATGTTAATTTTAGTACCGTTTTAAGTAAGAAAGCTCATTTCTGATGTGATTTGTTTAGAAAACAGTGGTGACAACCAAAAGTGTAGAGTACATGCCATTCCTTCTATCATTCTTCCTCTTCTTGAATGGAGCAACTTGGACATTCTATGCTGTGCTTCGACGGGATTTTTACCTTATGGTAAGCCTATGTACCCTTATCTCTTTTTCAAGAAGTACATGCTATTAGATCATTTGCTACTATATCTACCCCTTTTATTTCCACTAACATTTCTCATTTTATGCTTGTCAATGAAAGATATCAATCACTTATTTTTAGTTTTCATTAAGCAAAATATACAAAATTTTAATGTTAAGAAATTATAAATTGAGACTCGTCTACGATTAAACACTCAAGCTATTCAATACCTAATGGTTACTTAAAAGCTACTGTCAAATAAGCGTTGGTATTAAGAGTTCAAGCATTTCATTATGGCAACGATTAGACATTTTTCCTCTCTACTTTATGTCAAATCGTGCAAATAATATGTAACGGAGGTAATAGTAAGTTGCATGAAATCAACACATACATCACATTGACTGATAACTCATTATTTTTTGAAAAAAAAAAATTGTTATTCAACAGGTGCCAAATGGAATTGGATGTTTTCTTGGAGTTTTACAGCTAGTCCTCTACGCTATCTACAGAAATGCTAAGCCTTCCAACAAGAACGACCTATCAGAAAAACTAATTGAGGAAGGTTCACAAGCAAATCTCATCTCATCTTCAAATCAACCACCAAAGAAAAAAGCCAATCGGTGAATCGTTGAAAGAATTAAGTACAATCAATCACGTTTTTTTGTAAGAGTAAATTGTATTTGATATAAAAATAAACCTAATGCGATTATTTAATTGGCGAGTGAATTTTTTTGGTCTTGTATTGTATAAAAAAAATGGTCATGGTGAAAGAGTGTGGTATGTATATTTACTCTTGTAAATAGTAAAATGAAGTTTTTGCTATTTTTAGGAATCAAATACCCAAAAACCTCAACATAATTTATGAATGAAATCGACTATTGAATATCACCCAAACAACCGTAGAATTTATTGTTTCAATATTCATGTACATAAAGAAATCTACCACTAATCATGGATAGATATATAAAGCAACAATTGTTGAAAGAGTATAAAAGCTTATGACTAGTTGGTTTTGCATCAAACCATATTGACATTAACAAAAAAAAAAAAAAAAAAAAAAAAAAAACGACTCTTCTACTCTGAAACAAAATGTTCCAAATGTTCCTGGAAATTCATGCTCCTATTAAACCATTTGTATCAATGTTTGCCAAAAAATTAGGAGTAAGAGCTTGTTCTCTTCAGCTTAAGTTCAGTTCAGTTCAGTTTATCTTTATGTCTAATGATATTGCAAATGATAATTAAAGCCAAATTTCATAATAATAACAATAACAATAATAACAAAACACCTTCAATTTAGTTGATCGTTCGGTCATGTTACGTGAATTTCGTCGCCGTTGTCCGGGTATTTTGCAATAGGTTGAATTTTGCTATTCTAATCCAACCAGATTATATTATGGGAACCAAACCTTATGGTCATCTCAAGGGGTGCAGTTGGTGATCCCCTTGGTCCTTTGCCTTTTGCTTTGGTTTTTCAACCCCTGGTGTGTAAAATCAGATAGACTCTTAATGTATGTCTTCAGGCTTGGTATTTGGATGACGACACTATTATGGGTGACACGTTAGTGGTGGGGAAGGTTTTACAGTTGATTATGGAGGAAGGGTGTAACACCCGCAAATCTCCCTCTACGGAAATACTAGTATAATATGTATAATTATGCCGTAGAGATAGACTTGGGTGTATTGTCGCCGCGTGATTACGCAAGGCTACTCAAAATACTTAATTCAACAACAAAACTTGCAGCGGAAACTCAACTTTCTTTTATTAATACTTATAAAAATAGTAACATTGTTATGAGTACTCAAAAATAAAGACAAAATCAACATTCTTAAACTAGGTGAAGCAAAACCCGGGACTCCCATATGCTCATTCATGACTCCACCTGAAAATAGTCAACGCTGCTTACCATTACAGTAAACATGGCGACGCAAAACAAATAAGAAATACGGATTAGCAAATCATGCTAAGTACGATAAGTGCAAGATAGTGTAAACTCAATTTATTTCCAAACATGCTTTTAAACCAATTCCAATAATTAATCCAATAAATTCAAAACCGATTCTCAATATTCCAATATCAATAATCAATAAAACCAATACCAATTATTTCAAAAACCAATTCCTCATATTAAAAACCAATTCCTCATAATAATCCAATAAAACCAATTGAACCAATTAAATCAATTTTTCTCTCAAGTATGCACACCCCCCAAGCTAGTCTCCTTATATTACAAGGCTATTCTTGAGGAAAGACTCGGTCATACAAAGTCCAAGGCCTTATCAATAAACCAAATCCGCATAATGGGATTACTAACATGCTTAAAAAGCATTAATAATAATAATAATAATAATAATAATAATAATAATAATAATAATAATAATTCAATGGTTCAATAAATCCTTTTAATATCCAATAGTTCCAATGTAATTCAAAATCCTTTTTAATTAATTCCACATGCTTTAAAAATCAAACCTCGTAAATAAATACTTGAGAATAAAATCTCATATTAATAACTTTTCAAAATCAACAACTCTTCCTTGAAAAACCTTTATTTAATTCAAAAAACCTTTTAAAATCAATTTCTTTATTTAAACACGATAAGTAATCCAAACTATTCAAAACAAGATTTAAAAATCAATCATTCAAAATACTTTTATTAAAATAAATACCTTCAAACAGCAGCAGCAGCAGCAGCAGTAGTAGTAGTAGTAGTAGTAGTAGTAGTAGTAGTAGTAGTAGTAGTAGTAGCAGCAGCAGCAGCAGCAGCAGGAGCAGTAGCAGTAGGAGTAGTAGTAGTAGTAGTAGTAGTAGTAGTAGTTGAATAAGAGAAGAGAATAAGAAAACGTAGTAGTCGTAGTAGTAGTAGTAGTAGTAGTAGTAGTAGTAGTAGTAGTAGTAGTAGAAGTAGTAGTAGTAGTAGTAGTAGTTGAATAAGAGAAGAGAATAAGAAAAGATAAGAAACCAAGGAAAAGAGAAGAATTGGATTTGCGTTGAAAAGAAAGGAACAATCTTTTGTGTAACATCAATACCCCAAAAACTGACCAGAAGTTCCCGAAAACTAGCTTTAAATATAAACAGGATAATATTTGTATGAAAAGATGAGAAGAAAAGCATGAAAATTTTTAGGGAAAAGAAGAAGAAGAGAATTAGGTTTCTGGTGTGAAGAATATGAGAGTTATGGAGGGGTATTTATAGGCTAACTCGTGCAAGAACTATGGCAAGAGAATGTGGGAAGAATTATGACAAGTAGGGTTTATGAGATTACTTGGAGAAGTGAGTAAAAGAATTAAGGAAAGTTTTGATATTAACGTGATTGTGTATAATTGAATATAGAAGGTATGTATGTCATGAAAAATAATAAGAAAATTAGAATTACTTGGGAATAATTAAGAAGAATGAATGGCAAGAAAATATGATGATTGGATATTAAAAAGATGGAGAATTAGAATTAAGGAAAATAGGAGATTTTGGGAGATAATTAAAAATATAATTTACAAAATAAATTCCCCCAAAATAATTTATGAGGGCCGAAAATATTGAGCTTACCATAGCTAAAATATTCGGATTCCTCTAGATATATTTAAGAAGATTTTTCTCGGTTTTTAAGAATAAAATAATTGTATAAAAATATAGAATAATAATTAAATAATTAATTAATTGAATACCAATTTTGGTATTGTTGATGGCAGTACCGATAAACTACGAGATGCTTTAAAGTGATGTCTCAATGTTCCCAAGAGTAGCATAAAACGGCAAGCTATGCTTCATCAAGGCTAAGGCAGTTGGGATCTAATTGATTGCTAAACTGAAGGAAATGCTCTCCTCAAGGGAATTTCTTTCCAATAAATAACCAAGAAAAATCAGATTTTCCATTCATGGAAAATCCAAAAATCTTAGCTAGTTATTAGGTAATTTCGGCCATAATAGTTAATTAATTAATTAAAAAATTATTTTTGCTTTAATTAAAATATCTTAAATATGTAAATAATCTGGTTTTTAAGATAGGATAAACGGATAATATATCTTATCCAAAATAATGATTAGTTTTCAAAATACTTTTGGCGTCAAAATTCAAATATTATTTTGGCTCCAAATACTAAATTTACTAAAATACCCTTTTTATAAAATAATTCTTAATTAATTAATTAGGAAAATACGTATGAAAATACGGTGTATTACAAAGGGCCTTGTTCTGGGTTACGTCTTAACGTGGAAAAAACTGAAGTTTTCTGGCCTATAAAAGACCCTCGAAGCAGGCTTGTGGGTGTCTTTCCACCTAATATTTCTCGACCTTTGCGTGGTGTAAAGTTTCCAGGTTGTCCCGCTAGTTTTTATTCTTGTTTTAGTGGTGAGCTTGTGATGCAGAGGGTGACCAAGAACATTGCCCTTATGGATAAGGTCGCTATGCTGGATGATCCTCAGTGTGAGCTATTGTTACTTAGGGCATGTACCGGAGTTTCTAAACTCTACTTTGCATTGCGTACTTGTCCTCCTAGTACTTTTGAGGTGGCTCAACGCACTTTGATGGGGTTCTTTGATCTTCTTTAGAGCGTATTATTACTACTTTGGGGCCTGGATTTGGCGACTGGTAGTGGCGGGCTTGCCATTTGCGTTTGGAAGGCTTGGTGTTTATTCCGCAGATGATGTTTGTCACTATGATTTTCTTTCTTCTCGGTTGCAGTCTGCTGGGTTGCAAACACAACTTCTACGGCATGCTGGCATTGTTGGTCTTGGACAAGCCTTTGAGGATGCTTTGTGTCTATTTAATGGAACAGTGGAGTCTGAAATTTTAAGTAATCTTAATGAGGTCACTGCCCCTAAACTCATGAAGAAATTGGTAGATATATATTTCACAAAGGTTATCGCTTCTGCAGAATTTGTTTATTCTTTAACTCCTCAACAATCCGCATTATGGATATCACAGCAGGGAGATCACACCTCTGCTTGGCTTTGGGCAGTCCATATTTCGGGGTTGGGTTAGACGATGAACGCCAAGACTTATTATTGTATGTTGTGCTACCGGTTGGGTATTCCATTGTTCTCTATCACGACGTCGTGCTCTGCTTGTTCAAGGGTTTTTGCTGGGGATATTTTTGGTGATCACACGGTGTCTTGTGCTGGTATTTTGGGCATTAAACATCGGCATAATGTTGTTCGGGATACCCTTGTTGATGTTTGCTTTCGGTTAGGGATTTCAGCTAGAAAGGAGGTGGACATTTGGTTATCTAGAGGGAACGATGGGGCTCTCAAGCCTACAGATGTGTTACTTTATTTTTGGGATCGTGGTCTGATGAGTGTCATTTATGACACTCATAGGGTAGTCTTTTAGGATTATTTCATCTTCCTTTTTACGCTTTCTTATCTTATTTTTGGTCCTTTTTCCTTTAATTCCTTTCTTTCTTTCTTTCCTTGTGTTTTTCGTGCTTTCTTCGTATTTTCCTTTTATTTGGTTCTTTTTCCCTTTTATTCCTTTTCGTTGTTTTTTCTTGTAGGTACCTAGGATTTGTCTTTGCAAGGGGATCAAGATGGGCTATATTGACTAAGCAAGGAGGAAGTAATCGGCTCAGAGAGGGGCATCATGCCCTGCCAGTCTGCCACGGGCGCGAGTACTGAAGGCCGCGGGCGTGGGCTTATATGCACCAAATTGGCAAATTTCCACCAGGAACTCTCCGCGGTCTGGCCGCGGGCTTCCCGCGGGCGCAGGCAGTTTGGAGAGCCCGCTCCATACCAGAGAGACCGCGACCCTCTGATCACCCTTTAGGAGCAAAGGATTTGCCGCGCATTTCCCGCGGGCGCGGGTGCTTTTTTCGCGGGTGCGGGTGTT